TTGTGAAGAGGAAACCCCCCACCAAGAAGGTGATAAGGCTGTGGTCTGAGGACTGYAGTGAGGCCCTGAGAGACTGTTTTGAACGTACAGACTGGCAGGAGTTCTGCAGGCCTCACGGCGAGGACATCAACACCCTGACCCACTGCATCACCGACTACATGACCTTCTGTGTGGAGAACACTGTGCCAACTAAGAAGGTACAGTGCTTCTCCAACAATAAACCATGGGTGACCCCAGAGCTGAAGGCCCTGCTGAACGAGAAGAGGGCCTTCAGGTCTGGCAACAAAGAGGAACTGAGGAGAGTGCAGAAGGATCTCAAATACAAGATCTGTAGGGACAAAGAAAGCTTCAGGAGGAAAATGGAGGAGAAGCTCCAACAAAACAAAGTTCGAGAGGTCTGGAGAAACATGATAAAATCTCTGGCCACTTCAAGGACAATGGAGGAACCACAGGGCCTACAGATCGGAGTGGGCTAATGATCTGAACTTGTTTTTCAATAGATTTGACTCTGGCCCATTGACCAACTCCGCCTCCACCCAGCTCCCACCTAGCCCCCACCATATGCTGCTCCCCCACTTTCTGCTTCCTGCACTCTCCTCACCCCCACCCACAACAGAACCAGCCCCACCTCCCACTCCAACCCAGCCTCACATTCACCTCACAGCTGATCAGGTGAGAAGTCAGCAAAACAAAGACCAGGAAGGCAGCAGGACCGGATGGAATCAGCCCCAGACTGCTCAGGGACTGTGCAGACCAGCTCTGCCAGGTGGTCCTGCACATCTTCAACCTGAGTCTGAGTCTGGAGAGGGTCCCTGATCTGTGGAAGACTTCCTGCGTGGTTCCAGTGCCAAAGATCACACATCCCAGAGAGCCCAACAGACCTGTGGCTCTGACTTATCATCTGATGAAGACCGTGGAGAGGCTCATCCTGCACCATCTTCATCCTGTAGTGAGCCCAGCACTGGACACCCTGCAGTTCGCCAACCAGCCCAGCATCAGGGTGGAGGACGCTCTCATCTACCTGCAGTGCCGGTGTCTCTCTCACCTAGAGCAAGCAGGAAACACTGTGAGGGTCATGTTCTTTGACTTCTCCAGTGCTTTCAACACTATCCAGCCTGCTCTGCTGAGAGGGAAGCTGGAGGGAGCCGGAGTGGACAAGCAGCTGACAGCAGGGACCATCGACTACCTCACCAACAGACCACAGTATGTGAGGCTCCGTGACTGTATGTCTGAAGTGGTAGTCTGCAGCACGGGGGCACCACAGAGCACAGTCCTCTCACCCTTTCTGTTCAGTCTGTACACGTCAGACTTCAGGTATAACTCGGACCACTGCCACCTTCAGAAGTTCTCGCATGATACGGCCATCACTGGATGCGTATCAGATGGGAATGACGAGGAATACAGGGGGGTCATCAGTGACTTTGTTGGCTGGTGTGAGACCAATGCTCTCCAAGTTAATGGAAGCAAGACGAAGGAGATGGTCATAGACCTGAGGAGGAAGTCACCCCCTACACCCCCTGGTGAACATCCAGGGAAAAGACATTGAGACAGTGGACTCTTACAAGTACCTGGGTGTTCACCTCAACAACAAGCTGGACTGGACAACAAACACAGACGTCCTGTATAAGAAGAGCCAGAGTCGACTCCACCTACTGAGGAAACTGAGGTCCTTCGGTGTCTGCAGGACTCTGTTAGAGGCATTCTATGACACGGTGGTAGCATCTGCCCTTTTCTATGGAGTGGTCTGCTGGGGGGCTGGATGTACTGAAAGGGACAGGAACAAGATCGACAAACTAGTACAGAGGTCAAGCTCTGTGCTGGGATGTCCTCTGGAGCCTGTGGTTGTGGTGGGTGAGAGGAGGATGTTGGCAAAGCTGACAGCCATCATGGAC